GACACTGCGCCACAAAAACGTATCCTACGTGACTAATGACAGCATCGTGCCATCGTCAAACTAAACAGGAAAAACTTAATTGTGTTTTATATATATATATATATATATTTTTTTTTTCTACAACAGAACTTTTTAAACATTGTTTATAGAGGAGTTTAGAAATTTATCTCAGACAAAATAATTTGTTTTTAAACTCCATCAGGGGAGCGGATGAAATATATGCTTTTGTGAGATATTAAATAAAATGCAATTGGAAGTTGTACTTGAGCTAAATTCGAATTCTTACTTTTAAAAGTAAGTATTATTTAAAAATATATACAAATGCACTTGTATTTATATATATTTTTAAATAATACTGAATTTTGTGAAGCTACATGAAAAGATGTGAGAATACATGTTCCAACTGAAAATATGTGATATAAAACATGGGGGCAGTACGTCATCCGAAGACTAGGCCAACTCATTGGAAACATCTTGACTTTTGCTTTTTTTCTGAATAAAAGCTTTCTTTCCACTGTTTCTCTGCTTTCGATTTAAAGCAACGCATCACCTTAAATCTGTTCGAAATACAAAAACGAATCAGCAACATCAACTGCTTCCTTTAACATCTACCTTCTAAAGTCTCCAGTTTAGTCGCAGCACARCAGAGCAAAGGATTTCTTTCTCTACCTCCTGTTTTGAAAGCGAGGTGYTGCTCAGCCCTGCAGGTTGCTCTGAAAGCAGCGAGAGAAGATGAGGTTAATTCACGGAATCCTCACTGCTGACATGAGTAAACATGACACGTGTGGTAAAACATTTCAGTTCTGCGTCGACGTGTGTRTGTGTCACAGATGTACAGACGCTAGTCCCCAGAACCAGAACAGCTCCGAACGACCCGGAACACGCTGATGATAATAAATGGATAACAAGTTGCGCCGTGACACGTCTTATCATAAGCAGCCTTTTGTTTAAACATCACATTTGTGCTGTTGTCTTGTAGTTCTCTGTTCCTCTGATAGTAGGGATGACACCGAGCCCATTTATGTTTTTTTAAACAAACAAGAGTGATGAGAGAACAAACAAATCTCTGACTGTTTTAGAAAGTTATAATGCAAATGTTGTGACAATGACTTCTTTTAGACCCCCTTTTTAATGGCATGCCATTGCTGCATGTTTTTATCCTTATAGTATATATTAACAAAGCTAGGTGGGACTGTTTCTCCTGACAGCTGTTTTTCATGAAAGTTGAGCTGAGGCACTAGTCTTTGTTGACCATCTCATTGTGAACGATAGTGCAAATACTCTGATGAGYGCTCCTTTGAGAAAAGACGTACTATGACTTTTGTACCTCCTGGCGTCTCCTCTGTGAGCATTGTTACAACGGATCCTCAGTTAGGCTCTCAGCCGTCTCCTTGTGTCGCCAACCAGTGGATGTCGCTCCACAACTTTTGTTGTTTCTGGAAATCCCTCGTGCAACAAACGGGAGATGTCAGCTCGGCCTTTAAACTCAGCTGCTCTACTCTCTGCCCGCTCATTCAGCCTCCATCACTTACTTTCCCTGGATTCTGGGATCCACCTCCTCCTTCTGGACCTGYAAATCACCAAGGACCAGTGGTGGGCAGCACTGATCCAAAAATTAGTTCCACTTTCCCCAAAGCACTAACTCAAATACTTAGGTCCCCTAATTCTAAAACACTAATGCACTGAAAATTTAGCAAAAGCTAATTCTAAAGCACTAAAATAACCCAATCATCCCAAGAACGTTTGTCAACAGACAACATGAGTCACATATTGGCATGTATATAGATTTTTATGGATTTATTTATTTAAAACCGGCGCAATATACAGTAAAGATGCACTGTATCAGGCTCTGGGTGCTAATTTCCACCAGCCAACACAATAATATAAAGATTTATAAAATAAAAGATAAAATAAGAGAAGCTGGATGCCTGTTACTTTCTTAAGCCTTATTATTGACATTCCTCAGCCATATTTGAGTTCATACATCGTCAATATGTCAACAAATAAGTGACATGCATATGAACAAAATGTGTGACAGCTTCACCCTCACCTGTAAACAATAATGTTAATAACATTTAAGGACCTCAGTTTGTGCTTTTAAATTTAGCCTATAAATGTAGCAAGTGCTAATCCACTAACAAATTTTAAAATTAGCAGAAGCCCTAAAGCATTAATCAGGAAATTAGTTCCACTATTAGTGCTTTAGCGCTTTAGGGGAACTGTGCCCACCACTGCCAAGGACAAAGTAAGAAAAGGTGTCACTAACAATTCAGCAGAATGACCTGCCTGTACTCACCTGCGAAAGCTCTAATCCTTTTTCTATTTGCTTCTCAGTTTTTTACTTCCTGCACCTTTAAAAAAAAAAACGGTTTCACTCACCTGGATTCTTTCAGTCCAAATGGTTTTGATTTTTTTTCCTTGAGGCTCACTGACGTCCTGCAGAGGAGGGCAGCTGATGTTGCCACAGTGAAAGCTGTTGTAATTGGCTGTTATAATGTGTGTCTGTTTGATTTAATTCCCTTTTTCATCCAACCCCAAGTGGTCATTTAAAGAACTGCAGGGTAATTTTTTTATTTTTTTGTTTTTTTGTTAAACGATGTCCTCACTTTTCTGTTCAAAGGATTGCTGTTTGCTCCTATTCTGCAAAATGTTTTGGATTAGGATGGCAATCTTACAAAATATAAGAGAAAAAAAACACAGGTTGCAGTAAAAAAAAGTTTTATAGACTAAGTGTGTCTGTATCGCTCATTGTAATTTCACAAGTATTACCTTTGTGAGAATTATACTTTAGCATGTTGATATTAAAACTTGTCTACATTTTTTATTGCTGCTTCCTAAACCAACCACACACACGGAAATAAATAATAAATAAAATAAAAATGCCTCTGGCTGGTGTTTAGGCTGGAAACATGTAATACCTTGAGATGTGYCCTGGCTTCTTATATCTGAAGTGTTATTAAGTGAACATGAAAGCTGATCCTTTTGTTAAACCATGAGGTCAAGACCAGATTAAATTAATTAAAAGGTTTTCTWTAAAACTTCTGCACTTTTTTAGGCCATTAAAAACATATTTATCCCCACTTTGGGTTTTCAGAAAATCTTAAAGCTGATCAATAAATTTTGGTTTCTAGCTTTTATTATCAATTACTGAGTTTGCTAAACTTCTCAAAGAACATAATAAACAGAACTATCAACTACATGTGGTCACATACAGCAGTTTGACATAATCTTTTAAAATTTTCAAAGAATACATGTTGTGATGTTAATATACAGTATATACCACTTAAAACAACCTTATGTYAGTGTTGGTCCTGCAACAAGCTGACATCATGCTGCCCCACAACAATGTTGGATTATTATGACCCCCGCACGCGAAGCGTAAGTGGGAGTCATATTGTTTTTGTACTGTTTATTTTTTTTGTTGTTGTTGTTTTTTTCTCCGGAGATTTTTGGTCAACCGTAGCACAAAAACGGCTGCACCAATCAACATGAAATTTGGCAGGACTGTAAACGAGTCCGACCTACACTGCGCCAGCCAACAGTTTTATGATACACCCCATATTTGAGGAGGGGGCTCCTTTCAAAGTGGGGGTGTCAGGACATGCAAAATCGCTTGCAACTCACACGGTGGGGGTAGTTCTCGCTGCGCATGTGGCCTTGGGGGCTCAGTGCTTGGGGTCTCTCTCGGGATCTGTGGCTCTGGTCCCCCTTATGTTTGCCTTGGGTCTTGAGGGTCAGGTCTGGGATCCTCCACAGTCACTTTTTAATATTCCACTGGAGAAGTCTTGTATTTATGTGCATGTTCACAACTTCACAAAAATAGACATTTGGATCCTGGGGTTTTTGACAATCACTGGATGTATTTATGTGTATGTACTGTATGTGTGTGTGTGTGTGTGTGTGTGTGTGTGTGTGTTTGGGTGTGTGTGTGTGTGTATGTAGGTATGTATGTATGCAAGTTTGTGTGTATTATGTGTATGTGCCTGATTGTGTGTAAAAGTGTGTGTGTTTTGTGTATTTTAATTAATGAGGTTACAATTTTTGTACGTAGGTGTGGATGTGTATATGTGTGTGTATATATTTATATATGTGCGTATGGGTATATGTACATACATTTGTTTAAGTTTGTTTGATGGGTGTTTGCTCTCTTCATTTGCTGATGATGTTGGGTGTGGTGTCCTACATGTTATTGGTGTTCATGTCAGATGCTGTATAATTTCTATTGGTTTCTCTCTTTACTGTTCTTATATTTCCCTTCTACTTTTTATGTTTCTTCCTATAGTATAAAAA